CATTGGACACCTGCGGATAGGGCGGCTGGGACAGAGGCTCAGCGGGAAAAGGATTTGGAGGAGAATCCCCGACCCAGGCACACCTTGAGGCTGCGGGAGATGTCCGAGGTCCGGATGCCGCATGCCGCCAGCTCGATGATCCTCTTCCTCTTGCAGGCGGGGAGGGGGCGGCCATTCACAAAGAGACCCCCCAGCTGGTTCACACCGCTGGGCCCTGGGGAGAGGCCAGGCAGCTGGTGACAGGGGCCAGGGCTTGCCATGAGGGGGGACGCTGCCTTTGCCCTTCCCTCCCCGGCTCTCTGTGCCAACGCGGCGCCTCCCTGATTCCCCCAGGAACGTGGACGCCAGGACCGTGCTCCCTGAGCCGCCCCGGTGCAGCAGCATCGCTCACCTCGGTGTTGCATGGTGAAGCTTCACGGGGCTTTCAGTGCCTGGGAATTGCCAAGAGGAGACGGTTGCTGTTGTGAGGCCGGATAAATCAGTGACGGTGTCCAGGGCTGAGCCACATCCGCTGCCCACCCTCCTGCGGGAAGAAGGGGGAGCAAGGGCAGAAATACCGAGCAGAGGATGGAAACGCTCGAGGGCATCTGACTGCTTGGGAAATCATCGCACTCCAGGCACAACGGATCAAAGGGACCCGGGCTTTAAAGTGCTCACACATCTGCAGAGGCACTCGGGCTCTGAAGTGGCTGGGGAGATGCTGGGAATGCTGCCTGCGCTGCCTGTACCTAGCAGCCACCGGCATGCAACGGAGCTGGCTTGGCTGAGCCATGTCCCAGCGCCTGCATGCACTCCCTCGGACAAGCCACGGGGGACAGAAGGTTTCCCAATGCCCACCCCACCACGGCTGAGCACCGGGGTCCTGCAGGGTGTCGGGGGGACGGGGGGCAGGAGGTGGCAGGAGCAGAGGAGACAACAGGATCAGGAGCTCTGGGTTTGTGTGCAACAGCTTTGGTGCTGGTTCATGAGCTGTTTATCGCCCACTTTAACCCTTCCCTGCTGCCTCTCCACTGGCTCCAGGCACAAGCGCCTGCGTGTGGGACCACCGCTTCCCCCTCGTGTCCTCGCTGGCAGCGTTGCTGTCTCTCGGCATATTTATTTATTTCAGAGGGAGGATCTGGCCCCGCGCTCCCATTGCCGCGCTATAAATCCAGAGCGACTCAGCTGCAGCCGGTAGCGTGGGGCTGGGTTTGCAGCACTGAGAGCCTAACCCAGCCAAGGAGAGATTGGCAAGGGATGATCAGGTTAACAGGAGCCTCCGCTCCTTTGGTTGGAGACGCTCCACCACTCTGCCACCTCCTCTGCCAGCTCAGAAGATCAAGGCTGGGTTTCCCCACATGCACGCACACACACTCCCAGAGCACCTGCACTTTTCCCCAACCCCACCACTTCTGCCTGCCCCCCCCACACCTTCCCTCGCTCCAGATCCTGACCTAAGGCAGCCCCACGGACTTAGACACCGATGCCTCAGCTGTGGGACACCACCACCGCACCTAACACCCCTGGAGCAAGTGCTGCCCTGCCCATCCTGCCCTACAGCCCTCCCGCTGCTCCCCTGGGGTCTGCAGGGTGAATGCCACCTCCTCCCACCCTGGGGATTCACCGGCAGCCAGGAACGCAATGGCAGCAGGTCCCGCAGGACACCTTTGCCAAGTCCCTTTGACCAGGGCAGGAGGGGCCGTTCACCACCGGCTTGTCCCTGGTGTCATCAGAGACACGGGAGGTTTCAGCCCCGTGGAAGTGGGAGGAAAGGTAGCGCAGCTTCGAGCGCCAGGCATCAGCAAGGGGTGCTGTGGGGTCCAGGGCAGCACCCTGCCCCATGAAGCGGGAGAGAGGGGATATTTCCACAGGGACGCTGGCGCCAGCCCTTCTCTCAAGGGAAACCCCGCTCCCCTTGCTGTCTGCTCAGGCAGAAACACTCGTGGTAATTAATGAGCAGCATGCTGAGCCACAGAGGTGCCACACAGACTGATGGCTGCTGCTTGCATCACCACTGCCTTGCCAAAGCCCGGGTACCCTCGCTGGCACCCCTGGTTAACCTGGGATTTCACCTGAAGCACCCTGAAAACCCCTGAACACCCCCAGCTTGGGGCTTTCCCTGCTACAGTCCCCAAATCCCACTGCAGCCTTGGCACTGCTTCCCTGCACAGCTTGAGAATGTTGTTTGGAGACACTGACCCTGATTATGAAATTCAAGAAAAGCAAAATAAATCCAACCATGGGGACGACTTGGCAGATTTGCCACAGGTGAAAAGCGAACGTGCGGTGCACCCAATCTCCCTCTCGCTAGGAAAGGGACGGATCACCCTGGAGCAAAGCACACGAGGCTGCTCCGGGAAGGAGGGAACAAGCGGTACCAGCAGGACGCATGTCCCCTCGGGGGCCAGCACAGCCCCCACTGGCGTTCCCCAGCTTTGCCCCAGCCAAGGGCTTGGCCTGTGCTGTGCTGGGAGGCGACACGGGGATTTCTTCCCCCACGGAGAAATGGGTGCACTGGCAAAGCCAAATGAGATGTGAGCCCACGGTCCCTCTCAGGTCCTGCTGAGTGATCTCAGAGGGGCGGTGAGCTTGGTCTTTGTGCAGCGTGCAGAGGCAAGGAGAGGAGTAAATGAGATGGGACTCGACTAGGCTAGACCAGAGCGGATCATTCCTGGAGGAAGCCCGAAACCGTCCCAGTGTTAAGGCACCTTCACCACCCAACTGCTACTGGGAACTGCTTCCCGCGGCTGCACAGGACAAGAAATCACAACGCCCCCCCCCGCCCCAGAGCAGCCCTCCCGCGCCCGAGCTTGCCCCGTGCTACAGCCCGTGTGTGTGCAAGCACGAGTGGATGTCTGTGCACACGTATCCATGTGTGCCCGTGCATCCGAGTGCGTCTGTGTGTATGGATGCGCGCTTACGCATGCACATGCTCCTTTCTCTGCGTGCCCAGCTGCACACACGCGTGCGTGTGCTTGTGCACGCACCCACGCCGCCGTGCGCACGTATTTGTGCGTGCACGTATAGATGCATATGACTGAGAGCAGGGGTGCCCGGTGGGGTGCAAGGGGGTACCTGTGGAGCCTCGAAGGAGCTGAACCGGGTCGTCCTCGGAGCCAACCGGGTGCTTGA